TATTCCTTCCAAAACTCTACCCACCCAAGTATCTTTCCCATATCATTAGTATCTGTTTCCCATTTATATCACTTTATTCTATATTCCTTACCTTGAAATATCCCTTCTTCATCCATGGCCTCTTACTACTTTCCTAATCCCTGGAGTTATTCTAAATGAATGACATATATCTAAAGATTCAAAGCTAAAATCAATTTATGAGAGAAAGCATGCAGTGTTTCTCTTTCTCGATCATGAATACCTCACTCATCAAGAATGTTTCCAGTTCCATCCATTTACCTGAGAATTTCATAGTTTCATTTTTTAAAAGCTGATTAATAATTCATTGTGTAATGTTTTGTCTTATCTATTCCTTGGTTAATGGACATCAAGACTGTTTCAGTTTCCTGGATATTGTGTGCACTGCTCGTGCTCTGGACCACCCTTGTGAGGAAGCCAATGCCTCACACACTCTGTCACCACCTCCCCAATCCAGGAGTAGACTCTGAATTGGCTGCTCACACTCCAGACCAGCCTGATGAGCTACCCAAGACCCACCCAACCCATCACCATCTCCACACTCATGGTTGATTGTGACTGCCCACCTCATACACCATATCAGCCTAGAATCATCCATATTCTTCCAATGAAAATCAAAGGGGATGACCTGGAGCACAGACGAACTATTCATACCTGATCATACATCAACCAAGCTATGACAATAATAAACAGAACCAAACTTCCACTCAACAAAGACAGAGGAAAATTTCATATGAAGCACGCAACCAACCAAAGAAGCCCAAATGCCCAGGTCACGTCACGAAAACACAAATAATATGGAAAACTAAGATAATATATTTCTACCAAATCTCATCGGCATGATAAAACTATTCTACAAGGAGAACTGCACAAAGAAACCCTAGGACACAGAACGTAAAAGAACAATCATAAACGTGATCAAAATAGTCAAGGACTTTAAAGAACATGCAAACACCTTAAGAAGCTCAAAGAGGGCATAAATAACCTTCTGACTGAAACTGAAGAAAATTAAATAAAGACACAGTTGGAGAATTAGATCACTCAAGCAAAGAACATGAAAAAAAGTTAAAACTCAGGAACGTAATATGCAGGAGGTGTGGAACACCATGAACAAAAAGTCTACAAAATATAGGCATTGAGGAAGGAGGAGAATCTCAGGTCCTTGGCATTGACTAGATCGTCAACAAAAGCATAGAAGAAAACATCCTGAATATTTTCAATACAGCAGAAATGAGCAGGGTGACCAAGTTTCTCTGCAGTAAGATATAGTGTCATTCAAGTGTATTCCCAAGAGTGGTATAGGTGGATCCATGTGATAGATTCACTTCTAGTATTTTGAGGACCCTCTCCACTGATACCCATATTGGTTGTACCAGTTTGGACACATACAAATAGTGAATAAGTGTTCCTTTTTTCCCACAAGTATACCAGATTTTGTTGTCATTTTTATTTTAAATTATCTTTTTATTTTTTTATTTCATGTGTATGCGTGTATTGCCTGCATGTAGGTAAGTGCACCCATGTCATGCAATGCTTGTGGAGGTCAGAAGAGGCTGTCGGGTCCCCTGGGACTGGAGTTACAGACAGTTGTTAGCTGCCATGTGGGTACTGGGACTTGAACCCGGGTCTTCTGCAAGAACAACCAGGGTTCATAAATGCTGAGCCATCTCTCCATGCCCTTTGCTGTCATTTTTAAATCTTATCTATTTTACTAGGGTTAGATGAAATTTCAAAGTGGTTTGAAATTGCATTTCCCACATGAACAAGAATATTGACTATTTCTAAAATGTTTCTCAGTCATATTTACTTTTTCTGCTGTAAGGTATGTGCTTAGATCTGTGCTTTATTTTTTAATTGAGTTGGGTTTTTTTTTGCCATGCTTAGTTTTTGAGTTCTTTGTATATTTTTGATATTAGCTCTCTGTGATATATTCAGCTGATAAAGACTTTTTCCATTCTGTAAGCTAATTATTTACTCAAATGATGGTGTCTTTTACTATTCAGAAGACTTTAGTTTCATATGGTTCCTTTTGTCAGTGGCCTGTGCTACTGGGGTCCTATTCAGAAAGTCGTTTCTTGACCTGTATATTCCCTACTTACTCCTCTATCCGATTGATGGTATTGGGACTTATGGTGAGGTATTTGATCCATTTAGCACTTTTTTTTTGCAAGGTGAGAGGTATGGTTGTGGTATCATTCTCCAACATGTAGCTATCCAGTTTGACCGGCATCTTTTCTTAAAGATGATGTCTTTTCTACTATGCGTACTTTTGGCCTCTGGTCAGAATCAGGTATCCACAGGTGTGTGAACTTAACCTGGGCCCTCGCTACAATTCCACTGCTCAATGTGTCTACTTTTATGTCAGTATCATGCTGTTTTAATTACTATAACTCTGTAGTATAATTTAAAATTGGGTTTTGCTACCTCTGGTTCTTACTTTACTGTGCAGGATTGGTTGCTATCCTAGGCTTTTCTGTTTCCATATAAATTTGAGCTCTTTTTTTCATTTTCTATAAGAATGGTATTGAAATTTTAATAAAGATTGTGTTGAATTGTTGAAGTGTAGATTGCTTTTGGCAGAATGGTCGTTTTCACAGTAGTAGTCCTACTGAAAAATGAACAGGAAAGTCTTTTCATCTTCCGGTATCTTCTTCAGTTTCATTCTTTAATGTCTTAATATTTGTATTATACAAGTCTTTAACGCCTTTGTTTAGATATATTCCAAGATATTTCATTTACTTATTATTTTTGAGGCTGTCATAAATGGGATGGTTTTTCATAGTAAGAATACTGACTTTTGTGTGTTACTCTTGTATCTCACTACTTAGCTGATTGAGTTTATCAGCTATAGGTGACTTTTGGTGGAGCCTTTAGGGCCTTCTACATATAGACTCAAATCACCTGCAAATAAGAACACTTTGAATTCTTCCTTTTCTATTCATATCAAATTTATCTCATCACTTGCTTGTATTGACTTCTTCAGATGAGAGTTATTCCAAAGTAACAAAACAATATAAATGATAAAATGTCAAAGACATTCTTCCTTTGAAGTAATGGAAAGAAAACAAATATTAAAAGGGAGAAAACTATTTTACTGACCAATATCATATGACAGAATAAAAATATATACATTCAATAAACTAAATGAGGAATGGCGTAGAATCTAAAACATTGAATCAGAGTGTTGTTCTATGGAGGGTGTTTTGCCCATGGAATCTTGACAGAACCTGCAGAATTATCCAGCTATGCAGGTCTTGTTTGTCTAGTAAATCACAGCACCTGTGATGTTTTCCAAAGCACAGTGGTGGGATGAGTGAAGCTGCAATGCCTGTGGTTTCCAAATAACCACCCAGGTGTATAAAAGGCCCACGGCAGATGGAGACATTCAGACTCAATAACCTACTGCTGGTCCTCAACTGAACAGTCCACTCCTGACACCATGTATAACTATGGCAGCTACTATGGAGGCCTGGGCTATGGCTATGGTGGCCTAGGCTATGGCTATGGCTGTGGCTATGGTGGCTATGGTGGCTATGGTGGCTGGGCAGGTGACGGTGGCTATGGCTACAGGTGCTGCCACCCATTGTGCAGTAGAAGGTACTGGCCCTACGGCTTCTACTGACAAGCTTCCACCGGTGCCCAGCCTATTGGTTGTAACTGTCTGTTGTACTAGAACTTCCTACAAGTTTTCTCCCATGAGGAAATCATGAACATCTTCTGAAATTCTAAATATATACTAAAATAGCTGAGAAAAAGTAAAGTGATACAGTGTGGCTGTCTTGAATTTACATATGGTTGGATTGTGAGATAACATAAAATTCTTTACACTACCTTTACTGTATATAATTATAGACCATTTGTACTCCCGTGTTTGGTGTAAAATCCTGTGCTTTAAAGTAAACTATTTTATTGAAAATGTTCCTTTCAATGGTTTTATTAAATAGACTCTATCAATTTAGAATGTATATTTGTCTCTATTTGGTTACATATATATGGTTGTGGGTGGATTTGTGAGGGAGAGTATCATAGGGTTTTCTAAAGCTACAGATGTGTTGGAGGAAATAGACAGAAGATAGATGATAGACTGATAGACAGATAGATGGATGATAGATACATACAGATAGATATAGATATAAATATAGATATAGATATAGATGATATAGACATAGATTATTGCCTTAGAGGATAGGGTCTAAGTAGCCCAACATTATATTCCACACAGCAGGGGCTATGTATCCCATAGCTGATCTATTCATGAGCCTAGATATCTCTGCACTCCCAATCTTTCACTGAAGGCCTTGAAGATTCCTGGAAAGCTGCTGATCATCAGTCTACATTGGAACCAAAGAAGATGATTCTAATATTGATGAATGAATGCCACAGCAGCAGGGTAGATGAACTCACCAGAAGGAGTGAAGACAAACAGGCAAAAAGCAACTTTCCTTCTTCCATGTCCTTTTATCTGGGCTGCCACCAGAAAGTGTTCCCTATATTTAGCCTGGGTCTTCAGCTTCAAATAATCATATCAAGAAAATCCATCAGTAGCATCCAGCATCTTGCTTTTAATTGAAGATGTAATATAGTTGACATTCATGATTAGTGATCACAGAGAGGGCAAGGGGAAGAAGAGGGAGGGTGAAGTGTATCCTTTACTGCATCTCTCAACTATCACCAGAAAACTTTCTTCTTGTAGCAGATGTCAATTAACAAAGACTCATAATTGATCAATTTTTAGACAAGTTATTGCAGAGCCTTAGGCCTTATATGAAACACCTACATCACAACCCTTCCTTCCAACGCTCAAGGATCATGGTAGATGAGGAGGCAGAGATACTGTAAGAGCTAGAGGTATGTGAAACATATAAGTAAACATTTTATTGTATTCTAGACACAACATAACAGTTGTACATATGAACCCACAGTGGTTGTGACAACATGTACAAGACCTGTGCAAGTCCAAGTCGCACAAAACCCCAGCATGGAGACAGAGGTGGGCAAAAAGCCCCAGCTCTAGCTCAGGAACTACTGGTAATTAATAGCTGCTGGGAGAGGAAGAGGCAATTTTTTAAGGGTGTTTCACTTGGTTGGTGATCAGGCTCCAAGGAATGGATCCAACCCCTGAGCATTTGGGGAACACAAATTAGACTTAATAGGTCAACTTAGTGAATGCTAGCCAGCTGTGGTTACTGGTAAGCCTTACCTCAAAAACTCAAAAAATGAAAAGAATACTCACATGAAGTGGAGTTGGGGTTTGAGTCAGTTTACTGGATAGAGAGTAGATGTGGGAGAGGGTCTCTGATTGTTATCAATATCCTTTGTGTGAAATTCACAAAGAATCAATAAAAATGTTAAAAAAATTCATCCCTTGATAGGCATTTTGGTTATTTTCATAACTTTTCTGTTTTAAATAAAGTCACAATGAATTTGGAGGTGCACCTATCCTTGGGATAAAATTTTTTGTCTGCTAGTTAAATTTTAGAAGCATTGTAAGTTCATACTGTGAACTTTTGAGGAGGGGTCTACTCATTGTTTTCTGGGATGACTGTAATAATATCCATTCTTTGCAAAGTGCAGGTTCCCTCTCCGTCATGTGTCTGTAACATGTATCCATTTTCTTTCTGTGCTAGCCATTTTATTAACATCTATATATAAACTAATGTTTAGAGAATTCTTTAACCTTTTTGGTCATCACTAGGAATTTTTTTGTGAGAAAAGAGTTTTTTTCTAATTCTCTGCTCATTTTCACATCAGTTTGTTTTCCTTGTGCTATTCAGTTACAGATGTCCCAAACAAACTTTCGTTATTTATCCCCTACTTTTTGTGTAGATTGCCTTTTCGTTCTGTTGGTTATTGTACTGTGCAGAATCTACTTTGATGGATAGAAACAAACCTACCTGTTTTCATTTTTGTTCCCTGTGCCTTGGAAATCGTAGTCAATAATTTCTGAGATGAAGCGCAAAACCTTTCACCTAGGTTCTTGTAGGTTTGTGGCTTTATGGTTATGTTTAATTATTTAATTTTAAATTGTATTTTCATATATACTATAAGATACAGGCTCTTTTTTCACATACACACGTAATAGTGATTTTGCAATATAATGATCACATGTATATCACTGCCAGAATATGTGAAGAATATTAGGTGAGGTCCTGTAACATCAAGGGAAATAATTCTTCTAGTGAAATTCTCCAGTAACTTTATTTACAGTGATAGAACCTAATTACTATAGATGTATA